ATAAAACGATTACAATAAATGACAAAACTAATAACAATGAAAATTAAAAAAAAAAAAAAACATTTTTATATCACTATATAAATTATGACAATTTTAAAATGTAGTTTGGGGAGCGATGTGGGTATGATAATGTTTATTATTAGACATTTCTCAGCATCACTTCTCTTTCCATCAAGGTATAACAATGTTAATAACTTGTAAAGTAACGGTCAAAAGTAGTTATAGACCAGTAATTTTCTTAATTAAATCCTTTTTTATTTTATAAATTAGTTAAATATATATGTTACCATTTAAAAAATAAAGTTGATATTCTTATAAAGTCACCATCTATTAAAAGCAATGCCTTGTCGTTGAAGCTACTCCTATCTGCTTGACTCCGAATTCTTCAGTGAAACAAAAGATGCACAGTTCATGAGTTCAAGGATTTGTTCAAAATATTGTCTCCTTGGGTGTTCACTGGGTTTCTTCACAGTTATTTTTCCTTCGTAGATGTTGATTATAAAGTCATTATGTTGGATGATGTGTCCGATTAAATTTATTCTTTTTGATTCAATCACATTCATCAGCTGTCTTTCTTCTCATAATTCTTTTAGAGCATGCTCATTTTTTTTTTCGTCTATCCATCATTTTGTCTATATCATTTTTCTCCATATCTATAACTTTAATGCTTCTAATTTGCTTCTTTCTTTTTATCAATTGTCCATGTTTCACTGTCATATGAAAGCAAACTCCAGACAAATGTTTAACGAATCTTATATGTATGCCAATGCTCATATATTTATTTGTAAGAAACTGATTCATACTTTGAAATGCTAGCTTTGCTTATAAAAGATAAATTAAAACAGTAACTTATAATTGATAAATCAAAAAATATATTAAACTTAAAAATACCAAAATATTTTTTTTAAATATAGTTATTATTTTTAGAGAAACCATGTGACTATAGTTAAAAGAATCACCTTATATATAATTATACAATGATTTAAATTAAACTATTTATGTAAATATTTGACTATATTATTTATTTATTCAATTATTTTTGCTAATTTATTTAAAGAAATGTTTTAGTAATTTTTAAGTTGATTTTAATTGGTGGTATAAAAATGTTTTTTTTTAATTTTAATTATTACTAGTTAAGTTATTTACTATTATAATTTTTATAAATTGACTAAAACATTTTAATCTTATGAAATCTGATCAGATCTTTG